TATATCTCTAAATGCTTATACAGCGCTCCCCAGAGCCATTTAATTGTGAGATACAGAAGGAATAAATGGATAGCTAAAGATTTTGATTAATCTCAGTTCAAGAACCTGGCATCGTTAGACCTGTGCAGCTTTCAATATAATTCATGCGCTTTCCCTGTAACTAATGTAACTTACAGATTTTGCTGTAAAAATCAGCCCCGCATGAGTAAAATGGCATCAGATGATACATGATAACCATAGTTAACCACAATGAGAAGCTGTGGTTAGTTCCTGAACTAGACCTTCTGTGACCAATAGCTTCTCTTCCCCTTGTCAGCTTCTCTTTGTGCTGACAAGGGCCTGTGTCACAGATAAATGGCAAAACATAATTTGAGCTTTGATATGGGTATAAAACTCATATTAATTATTGTCTTAAGTGCTGGCTTTAAAGCCTAAAGAAGATATCACTCTCCTCTATTTCAGGAGCCGATTACCTCATGCGTTCGTCTGCCAAAAATGTGATGTATGGTGGATTCTGTCGGACAGAGCTACCTTGCGATAAATCAGGGTTAGCGAGTCATTAATGTCACCAGTAACAGTGTTTATTCAGCCAAAGCTCTTTGGAAAGTGCACTTGCAGTTCTGCTGGTTCCTAGAACAGATACACAATTGTTGCATTCAGGAAAAAAATATCTTTTTTTTATGAGGCAGTGGATAAACGCTATGGCCTCACACTTCCATACACACGCATGATGTGTCTGGATTATCCATTGTGTGTGAGAGTCTAGAAGACTCGCTTCCCCTATTGGACTCCATTTTCCTATTTATTGTTGTTGCTGTTTAATTTATTGTTGTTTCCTACCTTTAATTCTTATTCTCAATTTGTACTGCGCTGTCTCACCAGGTCAAATTCCTATGTACTATGTGCATTTGGCGAGTAAACTGATTCTGATTCTGATTCTGATTCTGGTTCTGGTTCTGGGTGCCCTCTGCCCTCATTACCCTGAGATGTGCTCCCGGCTGACCATAATCCTTCATCAGTTGTGTTAAATGAATAGCCTTCATTATTATTTAATTCATAAACCATGTGAAAATGAAGAAAAAACAATTATCCACAGGCATAAGTTTGGTTTCAACACTGGTAGGGACCAAGTCAGCTCCGACCAGCCCCTCCCCCACCCCCCCGCCCCCTTAAACATGCACAGTACTCCCACAATATGTATACGGACATGCCCCTACCAGCCATACCAAAATCTACATCATTGCAGTTATCATTCTTATATATCAGAGCACACCGCAAAAACATTATCTGTAAAACTGCTTATTCCCAAAAGTGCATTTTTATTAAATTACCTGGTACTGAATGAAAATGAGAAGGGCAAGGTCTGACCGATTTGAAGTTCGGTCAAGGCCAAGAAAGAGCTCATGCTTCCAAAATCTCACCTGTAGACCCAAACCTGCACAAGTTGGTGACTGGCAGCCTCCAGAAAAGGGAACACAGGCCATCAATCCCACTGCATCTGCAGGGGCCTGATATGGCAGTTAAGAGGCCTGAGCAATCCGTTAAAGTCCATCCAGCTTCGTTTCCTCTTTACCTTAAATCCCTTGCAACACTGAACCCTAGTAGTGAAGCTCATATACTTACGTGCTATTGAGCAAGGCAATACCTCATGAGTGTGTTAAGCTAGCAAGGTCTCAGTCGAGCACCACTGGCCAGAGGCAGCAGAGGGACGTAGCCTTCCTGGGCGCCTGACACTGGCAGCTTACCCCTGCTGCACAGCTAATGCTTTTATATAAAGCAACTTGTAATTTGTACACTGGAGCAAATCAGGATAAGTACAGGCAGGAAGGAGCTACGGCGGAGTTCTTCCTGCCACATGAATCAGCTGTTTTCAGGTTAATAGCCCCATCCTGAATCCTTGCACTATGTGGCGCTTTTGCGGTTTATGGGCCTCAGTCCATGTTATCACAGGTGAAAGTCAAGAGGAAAATTGCTGCTGGTTTAGTAATATTTTCCTCTGGAATCATTTCCGTAATTATAGAAATGCATGGACAAGAATATCGGCACACAACAATATCACCTTTGATATGAACACATGTTAAAGATTATTTTTAAAATCATTCATACTTTGAAAATGTTTCGCTATTATGCTTTATTTTATAATAGCTTTACACCAGCAATAAAAACATACAGTATGTTGCACTTTCGGTCAAGGAGATGAATAAATAACAGAAGCGTTGTTTCGGGTTCTCTAGACTAGGCATATTCTGGAAGCAACAAGACCATGGGTGGATTCTGGGGACATTTGCCCGAAAATGTGAAGGCGACATAAGGAGCAGATTTCATGCAAAGATTTTGCTACCTCGCTGTTCCAAAACTAGGTAAAATGAAATGATGCCACATTTGCACTTTGCACAAGTACAGGAACGTCGGAGTGCTTCTTTCTGCATGTCCCATCTGGCTCTCGAGACGTACATGTGCAAATATATATACAGTAGTAAGCTAAGCTTGGCCTGGTATACAGGGTCGACCTTTTATCTGGCAGCCCAGGGCCAATTCGGAGGGGGGGGGCAATGCTCAAGGTCCCAATGGACATGTGACTGTTCTGCTGAGGACATGATTCAAACTGGTGAACTTGGTGACTGGAGGCCGATTCCACTGAACCGCCCCATAGTTTAATCATTAATGTACTGCCTTTCAATATATTCTTCTCTATGGGCATTTGAATGTGCAAGGAATGGCTATTGTAGGTTCCCTTCACTGACCAGCTCAATGAAAAACGAGGCCTTTTGATCAAGGTAAAGGATGCTCCCCCCCCCCTCCTTCCTCTAAACATCACTGCCTGGCCCATTTAAACAGCTCTGTTTCATCACCCCATCCTACCCACTATATCGTCATACAAAGACTTACCCACCCCCCCCCCGCAGTAATATAATTTAATCAGTGTTCGAGGCGGTGTGGTAGCTAGCCATGAAATGATATCGAGGCTCTGAATACGATCTGTTTAAAATCAAATGAGAAGTCATCACACTTAAGTTTGATGTCGTATTTTATTGAGAAGACAGAAAGGATTGTTTAATACAGGGAGTCAATAAAATGCTCATCGATGACTCAGGGCGCTCCGGGAGGGGTCTGTCATACATGAACACCGACCACAGCCTGATGAGTATCTTAATTATGGGAGACTTGCGAAGCGTGAATAATATTACACAGCCTCAAGCTCATTATCAGTTTAATTTAGAAAGAAATGTAGCATAACACAGTAGGTGGGACAAGGAATATCCAGAGAAATTGGGGAAATTGTTTTTGAGTGTATATGCATGTGGATTGAGACTAATATGATTTACATTTATCACTAAATAAAAATTCAGTGATTTACACGGTAATATGAAATTGTGATTAAGTAATTTACAGGTTGCACAGAAAAAAATTACGTTTCTTTTCTAAAGTCACCTTTAAATATCTTATTAGATATTCAGTAGAAAAGTGGTCCTCATGACTCCATTTTGTCTTTATTTTGAAACTCACAGACAGACTGCCTCAATACTCTGACTGCAAACCAGCAGTAAATAAAAGTCATCTTTAACGATAGTGAAATATAGTTATTTTTATCAAGGCGATATTTTTCCTGGCACACTGTAATGGTAATAACAGACATTATTCCACCCCATAAAACAGTCATAAATTCGCAGATACTTCTAAGTCGGTTATTATTCTCAAAGGGAGCCTTAACCTGGACTTGTAGGGGTGATGCCTGTGATGGCAGGCATGAGAAGTGTCAACATATTCATGTAAAATTGTTTCAAAGTCAGTTCCAGCACAAGTTCTTGAATTGAATATAGTCACTTCAGTGAGCCCAGTCACATTTCAAAGGTAAAATAATTTGTTCTACTAACTTTTTTTCTATACTTGGCTTACCAAATTTAAATCACATTAATATATCATCTAAGCACTTTATAAATTATCACTAAAACATATATTTCTTTGTTTTATTTAAATACATGAATACCCTGCAGAATTTCTTAAGCGTTGCAATAGATTAGCAAGACTGATGCTGAGTATAATTGCTGCGTTAGTTTTTATATGAATGGAGTTCACACATGACCAGTAGGTGGCAATCGTAGCAATCGTAGTATTTTTACTGAGAAACATTGGTTCTTAAGTGAGGTTCTTGTCGTTGGCATAGATTGTTTTCTTTGATATATAGGATGGTTCAGTGGTTAAAATTCATTAGTGTTCTGTAATGTCTTAGTTTGGGTGTGTCTGTGCAGGCCAATTGTTACAATGGGTTATGAGACTCACAGGTTGAATTTCAGTAACACCCGCGCATATTATCCATCCATCTTTCATAACGACTTATTCAATACAGGGTCACGATAAGCCTGTAGCCAATGCCACAAAACAGGTTGTATTTGGCACGGAACAGCATGGGATGCCAGTAAAAATCAAATAGAGCGTTGAAAATCTATCATAAAATCAAATAATATCAAAAAATGTCTATATTAATTGTTTTTCATCATAACATAAAACACACTTACACACTTTATACACTTGCCAAAGTTAATTAATACACAAAGTTTAAATTTTTTCTTAGATTTAGTTGGCCCCAGCAGTCAAGTTAAACGGCTATTAATCACCTTCCTATCAATATAATGACAATTGCTTCTATGAATATAATTTTAACGTTATTTAAATCGTATTTGAGTGACGCCATTAGCAAACATGCTCTTTCAACGCAGATTACACCTCTGAAAATGAAGTAGAACGCACCTTAGTTATTTACTGTAGTTTATTGTAGGTTTCACAACTGAGCTCAGTTGACTTTTGACTAACTTATCCATCATGTCAATGTTACACATACATCCAGCAGTATACTCCCTAAGATAAGCATTCTAAGTCATATTAAAACAAGCTGAGAATGAAATAAATGATGAAGTGTACACCCCTCTGCGTATTCAGTATCTCACGCAAAGCTGTATACTTCGAGGTGTGTTTCTGAGCCCCGCCCCTCGAGTGCCGCAGCCGTGGGAGCGAGCGAGTGTTCAACTTCCGCTTCCGGTTGCGCTTTGGACCGAGGACTGGCTATACGCTGCGAAATGGAGGTGATAACATTAACAATACCCATGAAAATCAGACTTGCGTACTCTTTGGTTCTGTTCGTAAATGGACGTAGAGAAAAATTTAAAATGAAGATGACATATTTTACAATAAAATATTGAGGCTGACTAACATGTCACGCTTGAATTTCTCGCAGCGCGAGGTACTAAGGGTAGTTGGGTATATTTCGCGGTATAATTCTGACAGCTCGTCGCGGCAAAACACTCAAAATACTCTGTCGACGTTGACAGTAGTCTTACCCACGAAGTGTTTCACTCTCATAAGTCTGTGTTACCGTGTTCATGTTTTGCAAGTTCATGTGGGGGGAAATGGGTGTAAAAAGTTGCATTTTACGGGAAATACAAATTCTTACGGTGTCATGCGATTTAAAATGTTTGTGACTTATTTAGATAGGGAAACTGAAATTTAAGTGTGAAAGAAGTCATTGCAAGTGCTGTATACGTATTTGCAATATGGAGGTAAGGGTAGGAGGCGATCTAAAATGGCGTATGAAGGATTCTTCCCAGTGGAAAATTCTGGATATTGACAGGGAGTTTATTTTTTATAACCTGAAAAAAGCAAGAATTGTCCAGACTGATGGAATGGGTCAGCCAGGCTGTGTCTCTGAAACAGAAGCGACCGCCCATCTACAAGGTGATAAGACCCAGAGATTTGAGCAGCAATGCGTCGGACTGTAATGTCCAGCACAGCCGCGGGGGAAGATTGCGCATGCGCGAACTAGCCGAGACGTTACCTAATCTATCAAAAGCGTACACACCTGCACGTGTATGCTTGACAGTTGTCAGTAGAACTTACCTGCCGTTTAATCATCATAAGGAATTTAACCGGAATTTTAGGATAGGAATTTTACTAGTCTGGAAGGCGTTACTCCTAGGAAAAAAAACTTTAAATGGGTACATTTTATGGAAAATATTTGAATTGCTTTTATGCAAAACATTTTAAATGCTTTTTCATTTTATTTGCCACTTTTAACGTTATGTTGTTAATCGGTTTTCTTTCCGTGTCTTCAAAGGATCATGAAACCAAGGAGCCAGAGCAGCTCAGAAAATTGTTCATTGGGGGTCTCAGTTTTGAAACTACAGATGAGAGCCTGAGGGCTCACTTCCAGCAATGGGGAAGGCTCACTGATTGTGTGGTTTGTATTCCAAGTAACATACTGGGTATAATTCTTAACTATTTTATCACTAGTTGATAAAATAATATCAAACAGACGCCTTTGTCCGAAGCAACATACCAGCTAGGCTGAGCTTCCAGTGAAAGCTCAGGTACAAATGTAAGCAGTACTGGAGCAGGAGATGCACAACATATTCTAAACAAAGCAAGAACCTCCTAAGGCTATTCAGGGAATGTTAAGATGCATCAGGCTAGTAGAGGTATTCAATGAACTGATGGGTCTTGAGTCATTTCTTGAAGGTGGAGAATGAATCTGATGACCGAATGTGGTTCGGCAGCTCATTCCACCACTGGGGAACCACACAAGAGAACCGCGAGTGAGATCTTCATTTCACTTCAGCCTGAAGTTGACCTCTTTGTTTTCTCTTCGTTACTTTGCCGTGCTGTTAAGGTGATGCGAGACCCAGCAAACAAGCGTTCCCGCGGATTTGGCTTCGTGACGTACTCATGCGTGGAGGAGGTGGATGCCGCCATGTCAGCTCGTCCCCACAAAGTGGACGGGCGCGTCGTGGAACCCAAGAGGGCCGTATCCAGAGAGGTAAGGGTTAGAAGGCCGCTCCTTCCAGATGCGATTACCGCGGTTACAGAAACTGATTGGCCTATATCCTCTGTCCCTAGGATTCAGCTAAGCCAGGTGCTCACCTGACAGTGAAGAAGATCTTTGTGGGCGGGATTAAGGAAGACACAGAGGAGAACCACCTCAGAGAGTACTTTCAGACTTACGGGAAGATCGAGAGCATCGAAGTGATGGAGGAACGCCAGACTGGCAAGAAGCGAGGGTTTTGTTTTATCACCTTTGATGACCACGACACAGTGGATAAAATTGTTGGTGGGTTCATCACACGACCTAGTGTTAGTTATTTCTCTGCCATCAAACCTGTGCCTTTACTTCCTTCATAACTGTGGATAAAAATGCAATGAATATTTCCAAGACTTTATAGGTGATGTTTCCTGCTGTCACCTGCCAGCCTGGCATTCACATGCACGTCCTGTTTTGCAGCTCAGAAATATCACACGATAAACTCCCATAACTGCGAAGTGAGGAAGGCCCTCTCAAAACAGGAAATGCAGGCCGCGTCCAGTCAGAGAAGTAAGTGAAGCGATGGGTCCTCACCTTCAGGTGTCCGCAGTGATGCCCGTTGGTCACCATGTGTTTGACAAATTCATAATAAGTATGATAAATATACCATTCCTTTCTGCTAGCAGGTAATTTTGGTCATTTAAAGAAAAAAAAACATATATAAACAGACTAATCCATCCACAAAAAGTAGTGTTTTTTATTTAGTGTTTTATTTCAGTACCACTTTACAATAAGGCTCCCTTTTGCCACTTGTAAATGGTAGTAACTCATTAATAAAAAGAAAATTGTGTTATAACTTGTTTACAATTGTATATGAATGATTTACAAAGTGTTACAACCTATTTAATAACCAGGTTATAAACCATTCATAAACCCTTTATATGGGTAGCCTTATTAGAGTGGCACCCTCATTTTGTTAAATTTGTAGTGTAGGTCAAAATATATTAGGATAGCTTACATAAAATATGTATCTTATACATGCGGCCAAAGCTTAAGGTTACTGCCTCACACTGCATTAAGGTGAATACTGGTTTCCGTTCCAGATAGAGGTGGTGGGTCAGGAAACTACATGGGCAGAGGAGGAAATTTTGGTGGTGGCAGCTTTGGCCGAGGTGGTAATTTCTCAGGTAGGAATTGGCCTTGTGAGAAGCGGCAGCTCTTGGCTTGGGGCTCCGGAATCACTTTGCCCAAACTTGTTTTGCAGGAGGGTACAGTGGAGGCAGAGGAGGCTATGGATATGGGGGTGGATATAATGGTTTTGAAGGTGGTATGTATTGGCGCTCGTCACTCACATTTAAGGCTTTGATTTATTTCTATTGTATTCTAATCTGTCTAGATATGATTTTAATGTGAGATTCCTCATGTTATATGTCATGAAAGCAGAGAATGAAAATTACCCATAATGTGTGGTGCCTGGAAGAATGTGGGTTTCCTTGGCATTTACTCAGTTAGGATCCTCGATGTTTACCTTTTCAGGGGGAAATTATGGCGGGGGACCAGGCTATGGGGGAGGGCGCGGGGGATACGGAGGTAGTGGTCCTGGGTACGGAAACCAGGGAGGATACGATAACTACAACGACGGAGGTAACTTTGGAGTAACCTCTTCAACCATATGGAGCTCTTAAAACCGAAATGGAGTTAGTCATCGGAATTTTCCGTGGGTGTGTCTTGCTGTTATTACCTTGCAGGGAACTTCAGTAGAGGTGGAAACTACAATGACTTTGGGAATTATGGTGGGCAGCAGTCTAACTACGGCCCAATGAGGGGAAGTGGCTTTGGGGGAAGGAATTCAGGTGGGCCTTACAGCGGTAGGTATTCTTCTTGTCCTCCAAGCTTCCGTTAATGCAGTGCCATGCCCTTGAACGTCTTAATGGCAATGCTGATGTGGCCAGCACGTGTCTGTTCCAGGTGGTTATGGTTCCGGGAGCGGCAGCGGAGGCGGTTACGGTCCGCGGCGATACTGAGTCCTGCGGAGGCGGTGAGTCTACGCCCCTCATTCCTGCATTGCTTAGAGTGACCTCTTGTGATGCTAGATTAACAGTTTTTGTTTTATCCTGTATCCATTCAACAGGCTACGGTTCTTAGCAGGAGAGGAGATGAGCAGAGGAGTGGTCAGGAAAGCTGCAGGGTACTGTGAGGCAGTCGTCCAGGAGCGTTAGAGGAACACACACAAGGATCCCTAGTCAGAAACGTTACCGCAGCTTAAACAGCACTGATAAGGACTGCATCCGCTAGCTACTGTGCGCAAGAGTGTAGCTATCGATTGGAAAGAAGGTGTCTGTTAGATGTACATTCCTGGGGTCTTATTTTGATGCTTAATTTTGTTCTTGTTTTTTTCCTTTTTGTTTTGGCCTGCTATCTTATTTCCCCTTCTGCATCTCTCGGACATAGTTATGTGTATGTGGTAGTAATATCAGGAATAAAAACAAGGAAGATTTTTTTATCAATGAACATGTGTAGTCAGTTTCTGAATGTAGTCTCGTTCTTTTTAAGCTTTCTGTGTTAGAGGCTCTTTCAGATTTGTTTTTAAAAAAGTTCAGTAAAAGCACGAAACAGAGGGCCACATAGTGAGCTCTAAGTTTTTGTTTTTTATTTTAAATTATTTAGTAACTGTTTTGAGTATAGTGTAAATCTTATTTGTATTATGTGTACTCACGTTTTGATAACACTCAGTTGTCCACAGAAGCAGTCTACAATATCTCAGACTATATGTATGGGCAAACAAATCATGTACGAATATAACGCTAGATTGCTATTCTGAGATGTGAAAATTAGATGTAATAAAGGATTCTAGAAAATGGAAACTAATGGAAGCCTTCATTCAGGAGAAGTTAAGTTGTTATTTTGTCACGTTTTCTTCTGGAATCTTTTGCCAAGTTTAGCTGTGTCACTGGAATACATATTTTTATTTTTGTTTCTCTCGGCGTGACGAGAGCTCTTGTTAGGCCTAGGGAGTACATCATGAACCTGCCCGAGCTGGCATTCCACGTGTAGGACTGTTAAAACCCCACGAAACTGCAGTTTGACTTCAGTTGGCCAGTACGGATGAACGTTTTTGACCATAAGACAGGACCTCATCGTTCCCCAGCGCAGACGACCAGGCAGCTCATTGCTTTGGGACAAAATTAAACGGAGGCAGCATCTTGAGCCACACCCCAGGAGGAAGTCGCAGAGTTCGCTGGTAGTGAGCATCCAGTGGCTAATTTTTGTCCTCCAAGAGAGCAGATGCTAGCGAAGAGAGGCTAGCCGGATGTTCCCGGATTTTTGTGGTCTTGTTGGCTCAGAGATATGGCAGTTTGACAGAACCTTTTCGTGCTAGGTCCAGTTTCAGACCTGAAAGTGGAAGGGGAATGAGTACAAGGCATGGACATTTAATACTGTGTGATAAATCAAAGCAGAAGATGGAAGAGTGACTTAGAACCAGGTAAGAGTAACCACTTTGCTTGATTTACAGATTCGAAAAGACGCTGTCACCTTAACGGCTGAAAATCTAGTATGACACGTACACTTGGAAGGTTCTGGATGGGTAAGGCTAAGTATTTTTCTCCCCGGTATGTATATAACGTACTCATTGTAAGGATTAGGATTTACTGAACTTTTTGTACTGGGCTTATGACGTCTATAGGTTTCTATGCGTACTTAATGAACATGTGGGACACATCTTACGGGGGATGGGGGGTGTTGTTAAGGCATTAATCCACTGGGAATTTGTAGGATATTTTGTGTGTTGCTATGACAGCTCTTATTTGTTTCACTTATGTTACACTAGAAAGTTTTCTTAATGCCTTCAACTGACCCTGTCTGTCTCAGCTGGACTTTCTGTAGTTTGGTTTCTATTACACTTAGTCACATTCTGGAGGTTTTCCCAGCCTCCTCTCCCCCCCCCCGAACTCAGAAATCATAAGTCCCAATTACTCTCGCGACGCTCCTTCCACGAGCTGACGGAAAGGTAAGGTAAAATCGGCTGCGTGTATCTCCGCTCTCTCCTGAAGCATTTCCATTTCTTTTGCACTTTATCTTTGATATCTAGTATGTCCCTTCACACGCAGAACTGACCTCGGGCCTGGGATTTGGATAATTTTATACAGCAGGTTAAAAATGGAACTAGCACTTACGACCAAGCATCTGGATAATGATATATGAGCGGCTTGACACGTACTCAACACGTATTTTAAAATGGTCATCCTAGGTTTTATGTGGCGAGGGTCTGGGAAGTTATTATTCAGTTCAGTTTATTTTTATATAGCGCTTTTCACCACAGATTTGCCCCAAGGCACTCAACATGGGTGTTATACCCATTGATGTGAAATGTTCCATCTTCAGCCTGTCGTCAGCATCCCAGTGATGTCATAGGTTCTCTGAGATGTTTACATGTTTGGATAGTGACGAAGACAGTCTGTATCCCACATTGAAGGGCTCCAGTGGTGCTAACTTTGTCACAATGTTAGCATGTTACGCGCACTTTCTTGTTACATTGTCCTTTCAAAATGTATATGTAAATTGTTTTCAATTCTACCTAGAGATAAAATTGCACTTTGTCAGTCTTCTTAAGAATGCTTACAATGGCAGCTTCATGTTTGTCTTCAATAAAAACATTTCTCCCAGTAAGACTGTTTCTGTCCCCTTTTCTCCGTAAGACGACATTCAGGGTCATTCCTCTGTATTTTGAAACGCAGAATCCAGGTACTGTAAATGGTTAAAAGTGAAGGCGACGGCTGCTGGAGAGCTGGACACACACCAGGAATCCGTAAGAGCTCGCGATCAGGCTCCAGATTAGCTTTGTGTGGCATTATGCAGACACCAAAAGCTACAGATGAAAGCCACTCTCATTGGCATAACACTCCTCCTGTTTGGTTTATCCGGATTAGGCAGAGGTGGAAAGTTCAAGTTCAGAAAGTACAAATCCAGAGCAAGATTTTGTTTCAACCAACCAGTTGAGTATAAAGATTCACAGTTGGAGAGTACTCAGCTGATTGGTTAAAATAAAATCTTGCTTTGGATTTGTACTTTCTGCACTTGAACTTTCCACCTCGGCATCGGCAGTCACTTTAGTGTGTATACCTGTGCGCTTCTGCGCTTTTGTTTTGATGCATGGTTTCCAAGATATGAATCTTTGGAGCAGCCGAGGCAGATAAAAGCAAGCAGAGGGAGAGCATAAGGGTTGTGAAAGAAGTGAGCACGCACGGACACCTGTCGCAGAACAGGAGAGATTGTGATGCAGGGAAGAAATACAGGAAATAAACACCTGCTTCTGACTGAATTGCTGATTTACTGATTTCACGCATTTCGAAGTTGTCATAATCTTGGGTTCTGGTGGGTTTCGCACAAATGAATTTGCAGTGAATTCGGCTTCAGGAAATATCAATGATTCATTATTTTTATGCGATGTGATTGGCTCCTGCAAGGCCCATTTGCAGTATATAGCCGGATGTTTTATTGGAGCAATTTAGCCACAATGTTCAAGGCCGCAGCAGCGATTGCCCCAGGCCACCATATTCCTTGCTGCCCTAAATAAAAATAATAAAATGGGTAATTTTACATGTGAATGTCTTGGGAGCCACAGGCAGAATTAACAGCAGTGCCTTTCTGGCCTTTATAGAGGTCATATATGAAAATAGAGCTGAAAGCAGAGTAAATCTCCCATTTTAATGTAAGGGAGATTAGCAATACCCACTGCTCACCCCCCAAATGATTATTATCCTGTGTTTTTACATGTGCAGAGAATCCATTTCAGACCAAAAAATATCAGAAGATGGGGATTAAATGAATATTTTATTTTTTTTTATAAAGTACAAGAGAAAAGTCAAGAAATAAAACAATTGAACAGTGAATCAAAGCATAAATCATTTATAAAACCGACTCTGGAAATTAAGAGAGATTTGCAAAAAAAAAAAAAGATTAGAATACTAAAATATATATACAGTACATTTTCATACTTCAAAGGCAAATAAGATAAACATTTATTTACAAACCATATTGAGAAAAAAAGGTTTCCTTGGGGGAAAGAAATATACATTATAGCCGTACAAGCAAAAGTCTAAATATAAAAAATATTAAGATGTCAAACCGCTATGGTTGGATACGCAAAAACTATATAATAGTTCTGCTGCTGGACTAATGCTGAAGCGATCTTGAGACTACAAATTTTTTATTTTTTTTTGCATAGACTTTTTGTTATGGTAGTGCAGTACAAAAATACGGTAAGCAGAGAAATGCTAGTTGCCGCGGGTCTTGCCCGTCGTCTTTTTGACGCGCGGCACCAGGTACACATTGCCGTCGGACGTCTGCTGTAGGGAGTACTCACTGGGCGAGTAGGGCTTCCCTTCCTCATCCCGGAGCATGCTGAACACCTCCTTGTAGAGGCTGCTGAGCTCCTGCTTGGCCTGCCGAAGGTTGGTGTCGTTCTCGGATCGCTCTTGCAACAGCCTCTCCTTCTCCTCACGCAGCGAGTCCAGCTCGCACTCCAGGCCCGCGATGCTCTCCATCTTGCGTTTGCGGCAGTTCTGGGCAGCCACCTTGTTCTTGCCACGCCGGCGGATGTCTCGGACCAGGGCCAGCTGGGCCTCGTTCAGTTGGTGCTTGGACATCAACTCGTTGAAGTCGTCTACAGGGAGGTTGATGATGAGGTCTACGGCAAGGGGGATCTGGAGGGCTTTGGCCCTCTGCTCGTCTCGTGACAGGCGAGCCTCCATGCGTCTCCGGTGCTTGTCTTTGGTGAAGGGCGGTTTGTCATGCCCGGCGTCCTCTGCCAGTTCTGTCTTGGGATGCCCGGCGTTCTGGTCCTGTGAGGATCCAGGCTGGCTGTGGGCGCCAGAATTCCCTTGGATACTTTCTGCAACGAAGGACAGTGGGAACGTCTCGGTGTAGTCAGACTTAGTACTGCCAGGGTTGCTGTCCATCTCCTCCATATCAGAGTCACTGTATCCAAAGGAGCTGTCGTCAACTGTCGATTTCTCCGGTGACCCATTGTTGGGGCTAGCGTCCAGCGACAGGCCTGAGTCAGAGTCCGGAAATTCGACTTCGGCCTCCTTGCTGGCAAATCCTTCCCCCAACGTGAACTCAGAGATATCCATGGGCTTAACCGGTGTCTCCTCCGGCAGTTCGGCCAGCGCGGTACCCTCACTCCCACCCTCACCCAGTAAGCCGCCATGGCTTATTGTTGTATCTGTAAGGTCCGGGTAAAACATGTCGCAGAAGCTCTCTACACTAAAGGCGCCATTCAGGTCCGGGGCCTCCAGAGTCGCCTGACCGGGGCTGTCCGCTGGGACAGCGCCGGCAAAAGCCCCTTCGAAGGAGCTCTGATACCCCGAGGAGCAGACTGACTCCGCCGGGACTGTAATCACATCTGTCATCTTGGGCAGGTAGAAGGGGTAGTTTGGCTCCTGCACCACCGGGGAGGTGCTCGTGGCACTGTAGCCCTGTGGTTCAACCACGTCCCCCATTTGCATGTTCAGGCACTGCTGGAGAAGAAGCAGAACAACAGTGAATGACACAAGCCACAGTCCTGTTGCATCTTTAGCGGCTAATAGCTAGGTTATAGATTATCGTCAGAATATCAAACTAAATGGAACTAAATTGCAGTTCTTTTTCATTCTGTTGATCAACTATTATGTTTCAAGTTACAATGAAACTCAGTTCATACAGAGTGGCACATACGATCTCAGAGTTGTTTTTTTATTTTTATTCCATCCTTATCTCGGCTGATAGGTGGGTGGACACACTGTGTCCCACCCTAAACGTCTCTTCCGAGTCTAGTGGGGGGCTTCGCTGAATACGCCCGCAGCCCGTGCCAACTCTGCAAATCTGCACAACAAAGGGGCACTTGTCTTCCTCGCCCTGGGGCGGGAGTAGCCGGGCATTCTTCGGGTGTCCGTTGCGATCCCAGCCGCCTCTGTCGCAGGCGAATGAATTTGCTTATTGTACCTGCAGCTCAGGGATGGAGAGCAGCTCCATCCAGGCCTGCTCCAGGTCCGGCAGGGGCTTCTGGGGGGGTGGCGTTGCTGACAGCAGGGGCTGTGGTTGAGGACCCATCATGACTGGGCTGCCGTGGGCGGCAGGCAAAACGGAGGGGTCGAGAGTAGGAGCAGAAGTCTGGAAAACAGCAGAGAGTGAGAGGAGAGTTCAGGGACACATCTAAGAAAATGAGCATCAGCATCGTAAGTCAGGTGAGGACAAAGACCCTCCCTCACCTCGATGGCCTCCACTAGCGGGAAGGTTTCTTCCAGGAGCTGCATGCATTCGTCAAATGACAGGGTGCCCACATCCTCTTCTGTGAACACGGCAGGCTGAAAAACGAAATGAGCTCCACTCAGCTGGACCGGCGGCTTTTCGCATTCGACTGGCTTCAGAAATATATGGCCAGGGTTTTTACACGGGGTCAGCAACACTCAGATAATGCGCTTCACCAAACGATGACAAAAAAAAATTAAGTACTACTATTGCTAAGGAACTGCACCTGTGCTCTCTCATTATAGTAGCAGGGGTGGTTACCTAGTTGCCGAGCAACGGCCCTCGTGCCCCCCACACCGCACCGTACCTGCACCTTCTCAGGAGGCGTGGTGGTCTGCTGGGAGCTGGGTGGGGCCCGCGGCACAAACTCGCCCGTCTCCTCGTCCAGCTGCAGTTGAGCCAGCAGCGCCTTCTTCTCCTCCTGCAGCCGCTGCAGCCGCTCCTCTTCCTCACGCTGGCGCTGGCGCTGCAGCTCGTGCTCCTTCTGCCGGTGGCTGTAGTCGAAGACTTCCCGGCCGGCGCCCAGGTCGATGTCCTGCCTCCACAGGATGTCAATCAGCTCCATTTCCTGGCCAGAGAGGGAGAACAGAGTAGCGGCGTGAGGGTGAGGCTAGGCCTGGGTGTGACGGAGACCCCCACTAGTGCTTCTGATCCGTCCGGCACAAACAGATGGTAGAGAGCGGGTGGGGGCTCGCGGACAACACCACTAAGCTGCCGCCCCTTGGTGCCCCCCTCCCTCCCAGAGGACGAGTGTCCCGTGACTTCACAGCAACCCCGGTGTTATTATGAGCGTAATGGAGAAGACACAGCTGCGTGAATAATACATGCCCGTCTCCTGTTTCATCCTCCCCTGTTGCTGGAATACGTGATCCCCACCCACGCAATGCCAGCACCGGTCGAGCCTGTCTGGCTCGGTGTGAATGGCGAACGCGGTGCGCCGAAGGCGTGCCATAAACCTGCCAAAGGAAAGCACGTCTCCACCCGCGGAGGTATCCGGAAAGACCGCTCTGGTGTCACGCGAAACCCACACATGTCCCTGTTAATGTGTGCTGCCGTGCCACAGCCGGGATCTAGATGGTACTTACACGGCGGGCATTTCGCAAAAAGCTTCAAGGGCTTCCTTCCTCCTCCAGCGGAGAGGCCCGGTGTGGGACGAGGGCTGCCAGCACGCTGGAGGTTGTCCTGCCTCCCAGAGGTAGGTGGTAATTATTCACGAGGCTTAAATTTCACTCCAATCGGAGAAGTGCATGGGACTGGCGTGAGGAAGTCGGCCCAAGAGAGAGGGCTGCTCAGGTGACAGGGCAGGCGGGGCCCTGCTCCATCGAGCCCATCATTGTGCGCTAGCAAAACCCTCACCGAAAGCCGTCTTATTAAACCCCAAGGCTGACTCAGAGGTTGTGGGACACCCGGGGCCCCCCGGGGACACCCGTGGCGGGGTTTCTGCCCATCGCTCAGCTACCCGTATCTCCACCACGGCATCGGTGACATCACAGGTGCTGGCAGCAACTCCACTAACAAGCAACCACCACGAAAGCAGAGACGAATCAAACTAGTAAAACACCAGTGGGGACGATTTAAAAGACCTTTAGACCCAGTATGAAACCCCTCGATGCACAAAAATTTATACTTAAATGATGCCAATCAAATTGCTTAAAAAAAACACACACACACACACACACACACACATATATATATTTATGTAGATTTCTTGGAAAAAAAGTATGTTACACACCAAATTATTAAACTGAAGTGTAGAACAAAATATATTTTATTTATATGTAAAACAATAAAATAACACGTAAATTGAAATTCAGAAGAGAATAATAATTTGTAGCGATAATATTTCCAGTAACAATTCATTCACAGTTTGGAGTAGCAAAATAGGACATTAAATTTAATTTACAAAATAAATGAAGTTAGCTTAAAAAGCGTTGCAGCTGCAGAACTGAATAAGCACAAGCAAACGGTGAAGGAGCTCTTAAAGGGCACTGTGTTGTGTCAAGAGCAGGCAAAGGACACCGTGTGCAGTAATCTCGCCGCGCGCTTTGAGCGTGTGAGGAGCAGATAATGCAGTGCAGATAATGCAGTCTGCAGCAGGTTCCCATAGCACGGTTCCTGGTGTACATGCGGGCCCTTGGCAGAGGGCGGGCCCCCGCGCCTGCGCACAGCTGCCACCCGGATGCCGGCTTTATCTGCCTGCAGTGCCTTAACACCCTTGTGTGTGCCTCGGCCTTCACAGATGTATGCGTAGGCTGAGCGTTTCATAACAGTCCGGAGAGATTGCACAAGAAGAAAAAAAAAATCCAGTGACTGTGTCACAAGGAAAAGCGCTCACCGCGTAACCTTTGTTTATGAAGAGAATGCCGCATTATTACATCTAAGACATCTTACACTTCCTCTAGCTGAGGCATTAGGTAACTTGGCTGGGTGAGACAGAGGAGACTGGGTGAACTAGGGAAGCGGGGGCGGGCGGGGGGGACAGCACAAAACGGAAGCGGCCACTACCAAAGAGAAGTATCTGGAAGCTAAGTGTCAGGAATGTACACGCTGCAGGCTTGTGATGTCTGCTTTCAGAAGAACAACAAAGCTACTGTTCCTTTCATTTATATTTATGAGGAATCTTATATACTGAATATGTACGTAAAACGCCAAGCATGTTAGAAGCGATGCTGTTATATAGTAAAACAAGTTTTACAGGGATATCACCTGGCTCACGGTACTTCAGATGTTTGTTCTTGATAATGCCAGTTGGACTGGGCCATGGGTCACAGATTCATCCATCCTTCACCTACTTATCTGTTCCAGTACAAAGGAGGAGGAAACTGGTACAACAAGGGAAAAACATCGAAACTGCACACACCTGCCCCAGTGGAGGTAGGATTTAAACCGACAGCCCTGGAGATGTGGAGCAGCAGCACTGTGCACTGAGCCACCATGCCAGCCAGTCACACAGATCATTTTTTAAAACTAATAAATTTGTGTAGATATAAATTTTTAGATTGAATAAGGTGTAACTGCCATCAGATAAAAGCATCTAAAAAGCCAGTTTTGTTAGTCACCAAACGATACACATGATGTCCTAAGAAAGCAGCATTTTTTGCTCCATGATCTTTCACCGTTTGGTTACAATCACCAAGAGACAAATCACATTCCATCTGCAACGGCATTCTGAATGTAAATGTATCTGCTTCCGAACCGTAAGTCTTTTTATATCTTTCCATTTCATGGTGTTTGTCTTTATCACTTTTAAATATGACATATGGCACTGTGCAAAAGTCTTAGGCAGTCAATGAAAATGATGTTTAAATGATCTTCATGCTGGTAAAATTCTATGATATTGTGTATGTCAAAATGTGTCAGCTTAGCTATTCCAAAACCTCTCCTAAAGCCACCCCAGGATTTACACCCATGTGTTTTTTTGACTAGACCAGGAGTAGGCAACCCTGATCCTGGAATGCCGGTACCCAGCAGGTTTTCCATCCTACCGGGTCTCAGATGAACCACACATGATCTCAGGCAGATAGTAATTCATCAGGTGGGATAGAAAACCTGCTGGATACTGACACTGCAGGATCAGGGCTGCCTGCCCCAGGACTAGACCACTAGCACACCTCGTACAGCTAATCAATATGTCATTGACTTTTCAAACTAATTAAAATGTATTCATTAAAGTGAGCTGGTGATGAAATTTAACAAATACATAGCTGAGGTATCCCTGAGGAGGTTTGGGAACTGAAGCGGCGTTCATCTAGCCATCCAGCTAGATATCAGTAACGTTTTGGAGGTTTATATACCTGAGTATGAAAGAAAGTTTCCAAAAAAATTTTTGTTTTATTTTTCAATATAGTCCACTGATAACTTCATACACTTCATCCACTTTTCCTGCAATGACCTTAACCCCTTTGAAAAATAATCTTCTGTTTGACCTTCAAACCACGACGTCACAGCTCCCTTGACGCTTCATCGCTTGAAAACCATTGTCCACGGAGAGATTTCTTCAAAACTAGGAATAGGAAATATTCTGAGGGAGCCAGGTTAGGACTGTAGGGTGAATTGTTCAGCTATTGGACCCACATTTTTTGATGGCAGCCTGTGATTGACGTGGCATGTGAACTGGCGCATTGTCGTGAAGAAGCAGCACGCCTGCCGTGAGTTTTCCTCGTCTTTTTGCCTTGACTCCAAAAAAGCGTTCATTGTGTTGCCATAACTCTCCCCAGTTATGGTTGTCTTATGTGGCATGAACTCCAGAAGCAAAAGTCCTTCAATATCCCAGAAAACAGTTGCCATGACTTTGCCTGCAGATGTTTCTGCCTTGAACTTTTTTGTGGTGGGGATGACTTGTGCTTCCACTGCATTGACTCAATTTTGGACTCTGTGATAGACTCAAGTCTCATCTCCAGTCTCCAAACGATGAAAACAATTCACTTGGTCTTCACGGGACATCTCCAAGTTCTCCAGACAGCACTGGAGGCTTGTGGCCTTCAGACATGGCGTCAGAATTCTTGGAGCCCATCTTGCACTGACCTTTGACATGCCCAACTTGTCATGAATTATTTTCCAAACTGTACCTGCTGAGATGCCCATTTTGTCAGCTACTCAGGAAACTTGAAGTCGTCTGCCTAACAAAATTAAATCTTCAACTTTCATGCACATTTCTGTGGAAGTTGCTTCCACTGGCCGTCCAGTGTGAGGGTCATCTTCAATGAACTCTCTACCCCATTGAAACTGCTTGCTCCAAAATTTTACTTTGTAGGATGAAGGGGCAGACTCACCATAAACTGCAGTCATGCGTTCATGGATCTCCTTTGGCTTTTCCCCTTCTTTTGTGAGAAACTTTATCACTGATCATTGCTCCAAATCTAGCATTTTCTTACTTGATTTGTATGAGGACTCTCTGGACATCCGGTCTCTTGGAGTGTTACCCCTGTTTTACACTGGGTGCGTTTCCGACGCGGCAGCCGCAGGTAATAGTTTACACCAGATCCGCTGCGTTGCGTCTCCGCTACGTCTCTGTTCCGTTACACGTCCGGCAGTCCGTCGAGATGCATATCAAGTCTATTTTTGACGGATACGGATCAAGAACGTAACACAGAGCGCATGCGCCAACTCCCCTTCACAACATGGATGACGAAAAAGTTCATTTTAGAGGTGGAGAAACACAGAATTGTGTACGACCCCAGACATCCTTTTTACAAGGACAATAGTAGAATTAACTATGTAAATACTTGATTTTTAATGAAAGTAACCTGTACTGTGAAGTACTTGTAAACTCCTAATAAAGTGTTCAGTAACCTACATGGGAGTGACACATTATTTTATCCACAGAAACATAGATAAATGTTATGTTAAATGTTATTCTCCCGTGATCATGTGATCTCGCAAACCATTGGGGCGCCGGATCAGATACGGAACACAAACGCGTCCAGTGCGAATTGGCGGACAACCTCGGACAGAATGGGAATGCAGCGCAGTTGCACCGCAGCGGACACGCATCCAGTGTAAAACAGGGGTTAGACTGCCACTGAGCCACAGCTGTGCATGAGTAACCTTAAGACATATCACAACATGCCCAGACTTGTTTCAACATGCTTGATCCTTTCTTTCATACTCAGGTAGATAAATTATTGAACGCCCCTCGTATTCTTAATCGACATATGTTCCAATGCTAAATTGTGTTTTTTGTTCTGAGGAAACATATACTTAATACCCAGTAAATACCTTTAAATATTTCCTTTGCCTATGACTTTCGCAGAGTGTTATACATACTGTATGCATATACTGTATGTAATATATATACAGACAAGGAATTATGCAGTGACCAAAAAAATAAAGGATTCAGAAGGTTGGCAGTTCAAATCCCATGGGCCCTTGAGCAAGGCCCTTAACCCCAATTGCACCAGGGACTGGTTGACCCTACTGTCTCCTCTACGCCAGAATCATGACATGGTCTCCTGAAATGCTTCTCCAGCTGTCCCAAAGGAGGTTCCCCATAAATGCTAAGCACTCTTTGACTGTATTTCCCTTCAGTCTCTGGCCAAACTCCTCCAAAACTATTTCTAATGTGTTAAGATCAGGTGGCCAGGTCATATGATGTGACACTGTATCAGTCTCCTTTATAGGCAGCTTGGTGTGTCCAAACGTTTGACTGGTACTGAATATGTGTCTCATTTGTGTATAAGGTTAAAGGGAGACTGCCCCTTCTTCCCTTTTCCAGTTTCTGATCCTCAGCTTCCCATAAATTAAATGCTCTGAAAATGTAAAGAGGAGTGTGGATGAGAACTGTAGCAACCTGCCGAGGGCTGTCAGAAACTCACAAGACCAAAGCACATCTGAAACAAACAAATTTTCACTTAAGAAAAATGGAAAAAAAAACCTAAAAGAAACTAAATTCTGTTGTTGGTGGGTAAACAGATTTCTATTTAAACATTGCTTTTCATAATTTGTATTGTCAAAGTATTGTGTGAATTATTTAAACCAATATTATTAACTGACAAGATTATACAGTTAATTCCAAACTTCTACCTTGTCAGTTACTTGAAAATATCGAGATGTGGTTTTAAGTAAATTTCTACTTTTAAATAGTCTTGTTTACTGTATTCTCTAAAAAGTTATTTAGTCATGAAGTCCATTTTTTTCTACAATGGTGCATGTGGGAATATTTCTGCAATAAACGAAAACAACCAGGTTACCACACTAAACTACAAAGGGCACATTATTTTTATGTTGAGCGCTGGAAGGGAAAGTCCTGACATTACAGAGGTAGTCTCCTCACAAACACAAACATGGCAGCACACTAAGTTCTGTGAAAAAAATATATTCCTTTGCATGTACAAAAAAATGTCTTCATAGTACTATTAAACCTCTTTTTTTGCTGTTACATTTCAGATAATTATACTTATTTTAGTTTTCAGGCTACAATCGACTAAAAATAACTTACAGACATACAATACTACAAAAAAAATAAAATCTGTAAAAGTGCCATTTAGATTTAAATATGCCTTAAGGAGCCTTGTAACATAGTCATATAAGATGCATATAATTGTTATTAAATTTAATATTTGAATAGTCTCAAATGCTTCCATTACATTTCCTCTTTCATAATCTTGAAAGTCAAATTGTGTTTTTACTGGCAGGAAATTTAAATATATATAAAAATATATCAGCGTTCGTACAGCACCCTGAACCCCCCCAAAGCCCCCCTATCTTGCACTATTTAAGAAATTATTACAGCAGAGATGATGTAACAGGCCATCGGCTAATATAAACTTCCTTGATTTTACATGACTTCCAGTCACTTGTAGGAAAAAAAAAAACTTAAAAAAAAATCTCCTCCCATTATTTAATAAATAGCAGCATCCAAAACTAAACTATTGTTTTTTTTAACGTTAACTTTCACGTGTCTCTCAAACCTGGTTATTAAATTTCATATTAAACAAATATGAATATTCACGTAGTGTTTTTGATATCTCCAAATGATATGTCAGCAGAGTGCCCAGCTTGGAAACACGTTCCTGGCGCTACATGTGTCGCCCATGTCCAGCTGCTTTGTTATAGCAGGAACAGAAACGTCACAGCGGCTAGTAATTAGCGCTCCTGATCGGCAGCAAGGAACCAGCCCCGTGAAAAATAAGACTTCTCCAGGTCAGACTCCTCACATGCAGGGTGAAATGGAAACAGTGGACTTCTTGTTCACACAAAAGGGAACCTTTTTCTGCATGATGAAACCTAAACTTTACCTCAGCAACTGAGAGAACTGCAAGAGCATAAGAGAATGTCCAAAGTGCACGAATAATAGATAGATCATCCAGTGAGTGAAATCGCAACGCCACACCAAGCACATGCTACACCACACAGATATGCGCAAAACTGAAATCATATGGCAGAAGTCTGTCACATTACAATCACTAACACTAAAGAAATATACAAATTAACCAAAACACTAAATACGAAATGTACAAGAGCAGGCCCGTGACAAACCCATCGGGCCCCAAGGGGCCCCGAGTCCGGACTGTCTTGTAGAGACATTTCAATTCAAGCCAGCTCTTCTGGTTTGACTATTTATGTCAAGCTACGCAAACTTTCACCTTTTCACCTGCTAGAAAAAGCAAGAAAGGGTGCGCTCTCTGAAACCAGTCTACCGTGCCTAACAGGCCATATTTTTGTATTTAAAATAATTAAAATGGTCACAAAAAAGGCTCAATGCTTGCTGGCAAACAGCGTGTACTTCACTTTTCTATTATATCCATAGTAATCATTTTAAGATTAACAGACACCTCCTTAAACATATACATATGCACATACATTTTTCGTCTATTATGCAATCATAATACATTTAGATGTGGCTCTGATTGCATAATCAGTTTCCACACTTTAACCGTTTCACAAACGCCCCTACAATTATTTACTCAGCAAGGACCAATGTCTTTACGCTGCGGATTACCACTTGCGTCAGGGTATAGAATAAGGCAAACATGAGCATTCCTGACTGAGGCGACCCGCGATTGTGCAATCAGCTGAGCAACGCAAAGGTAGCCGCTGATGCCATCTTTACAAGGGATCACATGCTATGGGGGGAACCTCGCAGTAGCAAGGAGGCTCGCGAAGGCCAACACAACTGCACGTATCCGATATATGAGGAAAGACCAATGAAGAAAAAAGTTTAGGTTCCTGTTTAAGTTTTCCCTTTCTCATTTCGATTGTCGTTATAAGTACAATTTCGCACATGTCTTTAAACGTTTTATGTACATAAAGGATTTTCACACGTGGATTTACACCCACCAAAGTTCAATGACGGTGCAAATTTTTCTATGAATGTATGAATGGCGCAGAATCGGAAATTGTGGCGTTCAGAACGCCTACCCGATTGTACAGACGATTCGCATGTTATTAGTAAGTAGTTATTCAGACTAACAAGGTCAAGAATAAACTAACACCCGATTAAACATATAATGTTTTAAATATAACAGAGTTTTAATAGTAACAATCCGCCGACAAACGGTAGTTACATCAATTTGGCTTCAATATCCCGGGTTCCACCAAACGTATAGACAGAACATTACATATAAGTATAAAATATATTCATTGTAGTTAAATAATAATGGACTGACGAAAATGATCGCAGCACCGTTGTGTATTTTAAGTTCTATATTAACCATGTAGAAAAACATGGTCAATATGAAATTGAAACGTGAGTTTACTGTAGCATAAAATGCCGTGACAATATATACCTAGCTCGCCCTTTACCTGTTGACTCTGGTGCATTTTTGGCAACTCGATCTCCATCATTGTGATGAGTTACAATCCCAGTCCGTATTCCAAGTAGGCTATCGGTTTATATTCCCAAACGACGCTCTGAAACGGAATCGCAGACCACACGCAACAGCAGCCCGGTGGAAAAACGTGCTGCCTTGGAAATAATGCACTACTTCTGGTCTTGTGAAAATATACGGAAAATCCCAGCAGCCGAGATGTCCTGCCCACGAACTGCCGCAGCCAGTCAAGGGCGTTCAGTGTACTGCGGAGGGATCGTCCCCCTCTGCTAAATCTCCAGCCTCACGTTGGCTGACTTTACGTCGTGACATGAAAGCCTACAGCAGCCTGGGTTATAAAGCAGGTTACAGTTCAACAAGGAGAAATACACAACATGTATTACATGTAAATATTATTCTACATTTCCTCTCTGTATAGAAGAGTAAGGTCATATATATAGTAAGTAAATAAAATAACATAGAACAGCGATCGACCGACAACTTTGCCTTAGTTCCACATGAGCATATTCTATTATATCCTACAAAAGGGGTTATCATTTTTTTAAATCATACTTTTAAGATACCTTATTTTAATTTGTATGTGGTTGATTTTTCATGACGTTGGATAAGCCCTACCTGGACAAGCAGACGATGGTATGGACAGTTGCTGTGATTTGTATGATCACAAAAACGTCATGATTTAAACAAATTAATGCTCACTGAGAGGTAACTGATCTTCTAGTCAGCCGAGGTTCAGCCTCGGGAGTTTGTTGTCACTCTGGTGCTGCAGAGACTAGTACTTAGGTGATTCATCATGAAGGAAAGCTTGATGGAGGAAACAAGTAACCATCAGAAGAAAACAACAGCTGATGATGTCACAAGGATATCGTCTCTCTGGGAGACCAAGGCTGAAACATGGATAAAGACACTTGCTGAAATCAATATATTTGCCACACAGTGGAATACCGTATTATACTTAAATGAAATCTAGTTACTCAGCATCGTTCCCTAGAATGTGACAAAGGAGATAAAATATGAGTTGAGTGCAGCATTATTATGGCCTGACCACAATGTGAAGTCAAGAGAAACATGCTGACAAGTCTCAAAAAAGTGGGTATGTGGCATTACCGCATCCAAGGCAGGGACCTCTCTTTGTGCTGGCATCGTGAGGCAAAACAACGCATGGGACTTGGAGGTCCTCACCTACCGTGACAACGGTCACCTGAGACGTGTCACACCCAATCCCAGTTGGAGAGAGGCAGCATGGGGTAGACAATATCACTTCTGTGATAAGGTCTGCACTGCTACCCTTGCTTTTGATATGGGTATTATGTAGCTATCTTCCCAGGGTACTGGTATTTTCATCTTAGGCGTGAATTTTAAGCCCATTCCTAAAATATGTTTACACGACCGTATGCACAATTGGCTGGTAGTCGTCTTGGGAGACCAAGTTCCACATGATAGCGACCCTTAGTGGTTTGCATGGGAACAACAACAATCCTAACGCGGTACTGTACACTCACATTAGTAAGTACTGTACTATAAACAGGACATCAAAAACCTGAGTGAATTACGTTTACAACAACTTAAAAATAATATTTTAAAGTATTACAGAGTAAATTAACATTTAAAAGAATGAGGTAATTTTCATCCACTGTAGGGCTATCATTCCGTCATCGTATAGTGGTATATAGGCCTATAGTGCGTTATATTTTATATTTGTCCTTTAATTATGCATATGTGATTTCTATGTGTCTATTCACAAGGCTAAACGACGTTGAGAGGTCTCCATCCATCCCGCGGGGCTCCGGAGCCTATCCTGGAAGCTACGGACGCAAGGCAGGGCGCCCTTTTTCTATGGTTTATTAATGTGAATATCCGGGTGACGACAACAAATAATAATAAATTCTTTGAGCAGCCTTCAATGACCTTTCAATGTTTCATTGAAACACATTATGCATTTTGATAATGCCTGTCCGCACCATGACCAGAAAACAAACTGGACATACTATGATGAAGGAATATTCAATAAAAACATCGAACATCATTCTGACAGCTCTTGTGTATCGTTCCGGTTATACTAGGCCTAGACCTGGGATTTGTGACCAAAATATACATAATCGGGCGATGAAAATGGTTAATTTTTAAGCGAAGTCACCTCGGATTAAAGTCCACTAAGCAAATAAATTACAGTCTGCCCCACTTGTACTATTCCCAACACTTTTTTAAGCTAAGCATTATATGCTATATTATCCCTGCCAGACCTATGCTGATTCAAATTAATTAATTAGAAACACAGACAAAAAGCCAAAAAGAAACATTTATCAGTATCCAGAATAAGAGTCTGTCATCTGAGTTTTAGTGGACAGCTGGAACTGCGCTGCAATCAGGCATCGTTTGAAAGCGCCCCACTACTTACATCGGCTATTAATGCGCGTCCTGACACGTACCTGTTAAGCAGCTCGCTCCACCTCTGCCACCGCCTCCACCTACGGCGCAGCCCGCTGCTCGAGTTCGCGGCGAGAGCGCTTTCTCGCAGAGCGCGTCCACGAATGCGCGTCCACGGTTGGCAGCTCCACGTCGACATTCTTCCAGCTGCAGGCTGCTCTGCACGGAGGAGTAGTAATATGCGAAGGTAGGCTCCAGTGGCGGAAAAGCACCTCATGATCACTTCGCGGCGGGACACAGCAAGGCCGACGGCCGCAAAATGATGTGACAAAGTGCGCATTTCGGCAATCAGCGCTGCAGTGTTTTCAGACCATATTTTTCCATTTTATGATCGCTTTCATCTCGAGCTGGACTGCAGCTGGCTTCATAGCTAACTGCTCCCCTACTTGTACCAGGTATGTTGGCTATAGCTAGCTAATGAAGTATACGTTAAATGCTTGTAATAATAACACTTAGGAACATGTCATTTATCACATGCATACTTTGTGGTATTGTCTTTAATTGTGTGCATTGATTTACATTTATTGATTGTACATTTTATGCAAAGGGAAAATAAGTGAACTTTTATAAGTGTAACAACTGCAAGTTATAATCACAGAAAAGTGACATTTGTATATATGTTAATGCTTATTAAAGTATGGCAATGCACGTGACAATGTACAAAGTCCAATCTTGCCGTTTTTAAAATTTAAAATCTAACCTACATAAAATCGTTGAGTGCTTAGCTTTGTGTCGAAGTATCAGAAGTTAAATAACGATTGCAGGTACCTTCTTAAATGCTAGTTTGATTCAAACGGACATTATAAATGAGCGTTTTGTCATGATCATGCACGCTTGACTATAAAAATTTAGATTCGCAGATTTTCCACGTATCGACCACCAACAACTGATACACTTACAAACGCTGTAGAGAAGATTTAACAATAGCAGAGATACTGGGTTTAATTTTATGTTGTACCACTGTATGTTTTGGTTATATACATTTTTACTGTCCTTATTTTGAATATATGGATTTCACTGTAGGCCCCTTTTAAAGGTCAAGATTTTTTTGATATACGCCCCTAGCGTCATTACACTGTTAACGGTATACACTGCACATATTTTATAGTAAAAAAAAAAAAATATATATATATATATAAATAAAATAACAAGAAAAACACAATTTGGTAGTGGCACTGTTTGGGAATTTGCCATACCTGCTGTGTTGTTAATGTCACAGATTTCCTACAGGTAGTTTAAAACCAGGCCTGTGTTTCGCCTTTAGAGATCCGGGCCTGGTTGATGTGTGCCATTAGTGGGTGTGCTCAGAAGGTGCCGAAGGCATTCACCCTTGTGGTTTGTTTTAAAGGCTGCTCTCTGGTGTGATGGTGAAAGAGGCCTCAGTGGAGGAATTCCTGCTTGCACTGCGGCTTTCCGAGTAAAGTTCTGTAATACACTTAGACTCTTAACTGCTCGCAGTCAGTGCATTACAGAACTTTGTTTTGGGAGTTAATCCTCTGACTGGACGGACCCAAACCTTTCCCACAGCTGGACGGTGGGTGGGATGATGTCAAAATGCACCGCTGTCACGTTTCCCTCAAGCAGAACTTTGCCCAGCTCTCACACAATTCCAAGCATTCAGTGAGACTTCTTATTTGCCGTAATATTTTGTTAAATTCACCCAATATTCTCGCAGTATGGGAATCGCATGACTGTAGCCAGGTGGCATTATTCGGGAAAAGACATGTTCATTTTATACTGATCTCCTGTACGGATTTTACTTTAACTTGCATTTTGTATGAGCCATGTTTTATTCAAATAAAAAACATTCACTTGTGTTTTGGATGGTTTGTTGTACTGCATTAGAGGGTTAAACCATTGTCTAATTATCCAGGGAGCCTTCACTCACTTGAGAACTGAACATGTGGTGCAGGTTTATCTCATTGCCACATGGTACAGTACAGGTAGGACCATACCATCAGCTGGCCCTAACGGGGATGACTATTTCATTAGATATGTTTTGAATGAAATGTACCTACTTCCATTGACATTCTGTGCCTGGTGTTCCTTCCCTTGTGGTTTCCTGGGACAAACTCCAGGCCCCCTGTGACACTGTTAACAAAGGATGGGTATTTTAGGCAGAATTACTAGTCAAAGTTCACCTGTCATTATTCGAATAATGTCTGATTAACCCCATCCTGGCCCCACCGCACACGCTGACAATCTTGTATGGATCAAAATATTTATGTCTTTCCATACAAAAGTAGATATTACTTGTTGCTGCCAAACTATGACATGAAACATTATAAAGTAGCTTGAATAAATTAAGTGCAAGTTAAACTAGACTGAAGAAGCTCAATTGTGGTAGCATACAATAATGTTTAATATTCTTGGGCAGTTATGGAGAATGGCTGTTTATTTTAATATCACAATCTTAACAATACTACTCTGGCATATAGACTGCTCTGTTAACTTATGTCTATATTAAGTGAGACATCAGTTGTTGCTGCAAAAGGATGAGATTATAAGTAGCCTAGTAATGTAAAGACGGTTATTATTAGTTTTACTTGTGCAAGAATTTTCAAGACAGGACTGCATTTTTCAGCTCAAGACATTTAAAATTGAGTAAACTAAACCTTTCAATTAACACTAGTAACAGCATGAAGTTGAGTTGACTTTTTTCTTCCCACAAGACTGAGTAAAAACATAATTTCAGCCATAGTGATACTGTATTATAAGTATACATGTAGTTCTGTAATATCTTAAGTTATTAATTGCTACTTCGGACAAAAATCAAAGCAATTCAATGTAATCATATTTTACTGTTGATCAAGAGCAGATTAATTTATCTGGGGGGTCTTCAGCTGACATCAGCATGGACACATGGGTGTTTGCAGTTTAGCTAACCGATCCATTTTTCCCGAGACGAGGTGGGGTGAGGCCCAGTTCTCACGTCTGCTGAGGACTAGAACATCCTAAGCACTAATCCACCCCTGGTTTTTGTATTTGGGTACAAATATACAGAGCTTTTAACTTCTGTGTAAAGGATATTATATGCTAATTGTTTTCAATAATAAACACGTTTTCTATTCCAAACACTAAACACAAACAGATTGCACAAATAAATTAACATTGCTGATTAATTTTGCTGATTAATTTTTTCCTATAACCTATAACATTTGCCTGTAGAAGCATTTACGTGCCTGTTTCCGTAAATACAAAATAATACAATCTAATTTTTTCCATAATACTAACAGGCTTTGAGTTCTTTAACAAAAAATACATGTGCATCAAAATAAGTGAAACTTCGCAACGAGTTTAAATTGCAAATGGGTTGCATGCTGGTAGGCCACTAGTTCAACATTGAAAGTTCCTAAAAACACAACATTTTGGTATCATTTATAATTTATTGGCGTATTGAACGTACGCGAGCAAACCCATGATAAGCTCAGTGAAAGTGTGAGGTATAGCTACGCGGTGTGTCCTGATTTTGAACTGTTCGGCCCCCACCGCCCCCGCATCGTACCTTCAGTGGAGAAGCGCGAGGGGGGAGGCGCTAAGGTGCGCGGCGCGCAGTGCATGCTGGGAGTAGTCTCCCTGACGCCTAGCGTCTTACCGTCGGCCGCCTGACCTCTGACAGCTCAGCCTTTCCCCCTGCGCGGCGCGGAAGCGGCATGGCGTCTAGTGGCCACGGTTCCGGGCGGCAGGAAGCTGCGGACCGAAGACTCCGGCTCATCGCCGGCCATTTGCATCCGCGGATCGCTGCTAGCGAATGCAAGGCCGAGGCGGCCGAGTCGGACCCCGTGAGGGCGAAAACTGTGCCAAAAAGGAGGTGGGTTTGCCGATGGAGAGCTTCGGCTAGCCGCTTTATGGTGCGATGCTACGGCACCTCTATGTCAAGTAGCAGCGAGGCTAGCGGATGTTGACAGTTGATCAGCATACCTCGCATTCCTGATCTGTAAATGTCACTCAGCAATAAATCTTTTTAAAATATGGTCTGACGCCTGAACGGTTTTATCGCGACGGAGAAGTCAGCCCGACAGCACGAAATCGGGCTGCTGCTAAAACAATATGTCCATTCATTTCTTGCATGGGTGCGGCAGCTCTGGCTTTCCCTAGATATGACGGGCGAAAGGTGCGGTTTGAGTGAATTTTGTCTGTCTGATGATTGATCTAGTTAAGTTGCGGTTAGTTACCTACCAAACTGCAGTTAAATAGTGTAGCTAGTCGACCGTGTAGACGTAACAGAACATGTCATTATAGGTTGTATTGCCTAGTTTTTAAAGGGGCGCACCGGCCTTGCACGGAAATATATTTTTTTTCAGGGAGTCCATAGTCATGTATAGTGGTTCGTATATTTCCTTTTAACCTTAAAATAAAACAATGACTCGTTTTAGTTATTTTTAGCCAAGTGTAAAATGTGCTGGTCTCTAAGCCCTGAATTGCCCGAAGCTGGCGCCTTTAAAGTCAAACATTGTTTTCGATAAAGTTGTGAAAAGTTAGTTGGCGTAGAAATACTATTGACCATTATGATTTTCTCGCATTTAAACAAAGTGTTTGGTTTCAGTTAGTTTGGAACACTTTTTATTGCAACCCTGTTGTCATCAGGATTAAAGCATTTACTTTGTCTCGCACACACAAGCAAATGTTTTTTTTTAATGCTTAATCTGAGATATATCTATAATATATATTTAATAGGCCTAGTATATTATGTGTACTTGGCCACGGACGATCCAGTACAACATCCGATACAGAACAAAAACTGGCGTCAAGTATATGTTAGCTTTACTTACTTTCCGTTAATTAAATGGGATTAGGAGACGTTATACACTTTTATGTTAAAAACGCCGATTTTTAAACCGTAATCTTGTTTTAATTTATGCGGGGAAAACTTTCCGTTAAAAGCGCGCCTGTGATTGGTGGGAGCGGCTGTGGTGCGACTTTCCTTCCTTGGTGGCGACAGCGCGTGCTTGTTCGGAGCCACAGCGACACATGGTGTTAGAAAAGTACACAGCGGCGCTCTCTTCAGCGTGTGGGAAGTGCAGAGCGTTTACTGCTGCCAGTAGCGTGATGAGTTGTCCTCTTATGACACTCAAGTCAGAGACTTGCTGCTTTGAAACGCACAACCCGAATCGCATTTTGTGTCATTTTCAGAATCCCAATTGTAACGTGTCATAATCAAGGTTTTTATACGTAATAGCTTTGCATAAACTTGCCCTGAGTGGTGCCATATAAAAATCAGGTAGGATGAACTTTATTAATCCCATGACTGTAAATTTCAGCCTTACAGCAGCAGTTATAAGAGGAATCCTACGGCTGATTTGAAATAAGTTTACAGTCGAATTGGAAGTTAATTAATAAAAAATTATATATATATATATATGTGTGTGTGTGTGTGTGTGTAACTGTAACATGTCACAAAAGAGCAGTTAATACTTGATGTAATATTTTATTTATATCATTTAATAAAGGAGACTGTAGAATCTTAAACTGCTGCATAGCTTGGCAGGGAACTGGACACAAGTATGTGGTATCTATGATGCAATCAGTAGTGCAGTGTGACAGTGATGTGCAACATTTAGCACAGCACTGGAATGCCAGAAACTCTTATGGTCAGTGTCTTCTCAACCATCCACATGCAGCACCCTGGGCTGCTGCACAGAGCCAGGTGTTTAATGTGAGGTGTTTAATGCCAGCGTGGACATGCACCCTTGCATAACGGATGTGCTGCCATAAGTGTGCACTGTGAAAAATAGTTGGTGGTTATTTTAAATGTACAGCTTTGGATAAGGTCAGAGGATTATTATTTACTTGCAAAAGAGTTGCATTGAAGGTAGAACCTGGAAATAAAGTGCCAGTCTCTTAATTGGAGCAGGATGTTGTTTTACAATTATCCTTTGCCTGCGTGAGAAATTTTGTGGTCTCAGGTACTTAAGGTTTTGCACCTAAGGCTGTGTAGGGTAAATGTATATATGTCCCAGACTACCTTACGATGTGTGCTTGTAATTCTCTGTGGTCACAATGCCCAAGGATTTTACCAGACTTCACAAAGCTATTGAGAAGCACTGGAGCCACTGCAATATAAAGGCCATGTAATGTTACGTGTCCCTTGTGTGGGGGTTCTTTATCTGGCCTTATGACCTGAAAATGAGGCCAGTGGAGCATTACCCAGGGGAGCCGTTGTTTACGGTTGTTGTCAGATTGGGTTCCCCAAGATGGTCCATGTCAGCAAAAGAAACACACTTTCCTTTTCGGGGTGATGCGGGGCCATTGATAATAAACATTTTGGCAAGGCAACAGCATTTCAAGCAACATCCCATAAACTTACAAAAGGCAAATAAAAGGTCCACACGTTGTAGGTCCTGAGGCTTGCCAGAATCATTCATCCGAACTAGCAAAGCAAAATTGTTCGCCTAAAGGTGCAATTAGCGTTTAGTGGGATGTTTCACTAATTTAATAAAGCAGGCGACTTGATCTTGCACAGTTGTTCGGGTCCTTCGTGGGGGGGGGGGGAGAGACATAGAGTCATTATATGTATGTAAATATAATGTGTACCGATCTATACAATGCGGACACTTTGGAATAAAATCACCGCTTAACTGTGCGTTACACTAAATGGTTTGGCACAGTGCTAAGGGCAATGAATACTGAGATGCCCTAAGGGTAAACCGACAAACTCTTATTTTTTGTTTACTACAGCAGAAATCGACACCTAGCGTCCTGTAGCGCAACTTGCTTTGGGCGTGTCACCGCCGTATGGGAGCGAACTAAGCAAACTCGGGATCAGGTTTGGCGCCTCCTCAAAGCGTGAAATGAAATCTAGGAAAGCGGGTCCGTGCCAATATCCCGGGCCGGACTGGGCTATAGTATTACTTTAATTTCCTCCCTCGTAAACTGCGAGTATGCGGTCGTCACGCGCTTTATGAAGCAGGCCTGCGTGCGCTCGTGCCGCGGCGCGCGAGCCGAGCACACGCCCCGCCCGCTCGCGTGACCTGGGCCACAGTCTGTCGGTGAGTCGTGTTCTCCCCACAATAATACCGCTGTTATGTAGACCCCGTGCGTTAAAATCCACACGCTCTGTATAATGTTACAGAGAAGGGTGTTTTTTTCAACATCTTTTTGTTCCTTAGGTTTCTTCGGGAGAAGAAAATCAAGAATTATATTGCCTCCTGCCAAATGGCTTAAACTGCTATAGGTTTTTTTTTCAGGTCAGTTGAAGTTTGTTTCTGACCTTTCCTCTACAACCTCACTAGTTAATGTGTTAATAGGCAAGTAAACTTTTTCCTTTGCTATTCTGGGGATTTTGCCAGCAAACGCTGATAGTCTGAACTTAGGAGGGCAAACGGGTGCTCTGGACACGGTTCACGCCCTACATTTGTCAATGTTTGTAAAAGCTGGACCTGTGAATTTTGTTTGAAAGTATGAAGCTCGATACCAAAAGAATCTGTTAGGGAACGGCTTTGATGTAATCCCCTTATCCCGCACTGACTGATCTGGGATCAGAGCTGTTCCGGTAAACTCGCGCGAGGATATGCACTGGAACGCGGATACATGGGCTGGTGTCACGCTGGGTTACTTTTTTATGGGTTTATTAAACTCCCTCAAACCGTTAGGCAAATGTCAGCAGTCTGAAATTCGCGAGCAGCGTAAATGTTAATTCCAAACCGCCTGCAGGTCATCTAGCAGCCGAACCGGTTATATGCTTCTAGTCAGTTCACTTTCGCCCATCTTTGTCAATATGGGCATGCTAGCTGTCAGGAAACACAAGGACACCACACACAAACTTGTTAAAAACAAATTTGCTTGTATGATGCATCGGTTTTGTTTCTCTTCATCTCAGTGACATTCCTTACAAAATAATGTATTGACAGTGTCTTAGCACTGATGTTTTGTTTTCCCTGAGCCACTTTGAGTTGTGCTGCTTACACTGTATTATCAGTGGTACATTAATATTGAGTGCCTGAATATTTCAGTCATTTTAGAATTGTGTCAAAATGATACTAAAGATTAAAATTTTTTAACTCAGAATTACCAAGAGTACTGTGTTTTGGAAGGAACTGTTTATCTCTGCTACTAGCCATTGATTTTGATTCGGAAGGCTCCAGAAATGTGTAACGCCTGCAGTTAAGGCTGAAAAATGAGCGTGAAGAATATATTAACATGTAAATCTAAATGTAGCCGCCAGTGTGTGTAAACCTGTCCATTTAGAAATCTTGGTGGACTGCAGGCCCCCTGTGTTCATTTAGCTGAGTGTGTATTACCATGTAGGGGCTGCCCTGACCCATACAGGGTTAATGCTAATGGAAGGACACTGCTGACTTACACATCAAATAGACTATGTATGTGTATATGTAAAACACTATATATATATATATATATATATATATATATATATATATATATATATATATATATATATATATATATATATATATACACACACACACATATATATTATATATATAATATATATATATATATATATATATATATATATATACACACACACACACACATACACTCACCTAAAGGATTATTAGGAACACCTGTTCAATTTCTCATTAATGCAATT